TGGCAGTGTTTGTTACAATAGCATCCATGATATTTTCCCCATTTATAGCTCTTGATCATATGCGGTCTTGAGCTGGAGATACCCACGTCCATTTACAATAAGTGTTAAGCTCCGTGACTGGCTTTTTCTAACTTAGTTGAGTGTTCCTTTTTGACAGTTTTCAAACCTTTCTCTCATCTGCAGCTTCTATACCTTGCCACCCCCAATGCAGTCTGTCTCGCTCTCCTTGCAGCATCCCTCTTGTCCCCTCCCAGCCCTTTGCAGTTTCTCTATCATCTCCACCCCCCCGCAGCCTGCCAGCCAGCCCACCCAAAGGCACCTCCTGTCACCACCACTTGTCCTGGGTAGGAAGGCTGCTTCTGGCCTGAGCATAATGCCTTTTAATTCCTGGACCTTGGCTACTGGGTTTGGCTTGAACACTCCCCAGTGACTCTTGTGCTCTCTGTCTCTGTGCCAGCACTGACTGACTGCTCACTGATCTTCCAGTCAGAGGTTGTTTCTCCCCTGTATTTTCCGTTCGAGGCAGGCATGGAGGAAACCAACCAGTGATTGAAGATAACAAGGTGTAGAGCTGGATGAACACAGCAGGCCGAGCAGGAAGGCTGACATTTCGGGCCTAGACCCTCCTTCAGAAATGGGGGAGGGGAAGGGGGTTCTGAAGTAAATAGGAAGAGAGGGGGAGGCGGATAGAGGAGAAGATAGGTGGGGAGGAGACAGACAGGTCGAAGAGGCGGGGATGGAGCCAGCAAAGGTGAGTGTAGGTGGGAAGTTAGAGGGGATAGGTCAGTCCAGGGAGGATGGACAGGTCAAGGGGGCGGGATGAGATTAGTAGGTGGAGATGGGGGTGGGGCTTGAGGTGGGAGGAGGGGATAGATGGGAGGAAGGACAAGTTAGGGAGGTGGGGACGAGCTGGACTGGTTTTGGGATGCGGTAGGGGGAGGGGAGATTTTGAAACTTGTGAAGTCCACATTGATACCATTGGGCTGCAGGGTTCCCAAGCGGAATATGAGTTGCTGTTCCTGCAACCTTCGGGTGGCATCGTTGTGGCACTGCAGGAAGCCCAGGATGGACATGTCGTCTGAGGAATGGGATGGGGAGTTGAAATGGGTCGCGACTGGGAGGTGCAGTTGTTTAGTGCAAACCGAGCGTAGGTGTTCTGCAAAGCGGTCCCCAAGCCTCCACTTGGTTTCCCCGATGTAGAGGAGGCCACAACGCGTACAGCGGATGCAGTATACCACATTAGCAGATGTGCAGGTGAACATCTGCTTGATGTGGAAAGTCGTCTTGGGGCCTGGGATGGGAGTGAGGGGGGAGGTGTAGGGGCAGGTGTAGCACTTCCTGCGGCTGCAGGGAAAAGTGGTGGGGCTGGAGGGGAGTGTGGAGCGGACAAGGGAGTCACGGAGAGAGTGGTCTCTCCGGAAAGCAGATAAGGGTGGGGAGGGAAAAATGTCTTTGGTGGGGTCAGATTGCAGATGGTGGAAGTGTCGGAGGATGATGCATTGGATCCGGAGGTTGGTGGGGTGGTACGTGAGGACAAGGGGGATTCTGTCTTGATTGTTATTGCAGGGAGTGGGTGTGAGGGATAAGTTGCGGGAAATGCGGGAGACACGGTTGAGGGCGTTCTCGACCACTGAGTGGGGGGGAGGTTGCAGTCCTTGAAAAGCGAGACATCTGAGATGTTCGGGAGTGGAATGCCTCATCCTGGGAGCAGATGCGGCGGAGGCGAAGGAATTGGCAATAGGGGATGGCATTTTTGCAGGAAGGTGGGTAGGAGGAGGTGTATTTTAGGTAGCTGTGGGAGTTGGTGGGCTTGAAATGGATATCGGTTTCCAGGTGGTTGCCAGAGATGGGGAGAAAGAGGTATCAGAGAGCAATTCCTTGTCGTCTCCTTCCAAGGTCATTTGAGAATGACCATACTCTGGTGTCTCCTGTGAGTGACTTTCCAGGGCACTTCAGGGAGTTGTGTGCTTGGATTTACCCACTGCACACCATGTAATTTGACATGATTGATCGTATTGGAAGTGATTTTAAGCCAGTTTTGAGATTTTTGGCTCGTTTGCACTTTTTGAAGAGTTAACGTTACCCCTAATGTAGAAGATATGAAATTGCATTTCTATCCTTTTCCCAACCACTGACATTTTGATCACACAATTTGTTTTCATGTCAGAAGTGCTGTCTGAAATAAGCAGAAGCCTCTTTACTGCATGCAGATTGGTCCTAATGTAAATGATATCATTAGGATGTTGTTGCAATTATAACGCAGAATTAAAAATACGAGAGCTGGCTCTACTTAAAACCCCAGTGGAATTGCATGCTAGCTGCCCCTCTGCCTGTTCTGCTAATGTCCCTTGCCTAGTGAGTCATCATTTAGAAAGAGAGGAAGAGTTGGTGAGTAGCTTTTTAAAGTGGTGGGGGGGCAGGGGCGCGGCACTGGTGCATATTCTTCATGCATGGTTTTGAGATTATAAAGTGGCAGTTTACAAGGAAGACATGATGGTGCTCAATGGAAATGTGAAATAAGAGCATTTAGCAGAGGAGAGCAGTGATCAGCATTTGTTACCAGGTGAAGAGAGAATGCTGCTGGAGCCTCTGAAGGCAGTAAGCAGTAGGTGTATGTGCAATTACGTGAATAAGCTGATTTGATACACTGTCCTCTTGTGTTTGGAGAAACAGTGGTGCGGGGAAGGGAAGTGTTCAGAGTATTTAGTTCCAGATGAGAGTGCTTGCGCATACTGGGTAATCCGCTTTTGTTGTCTCAAACTTTATTTTTCCAGTGCCCAATAGCTGCTAACTGTAGTGCATGCTGATTATCAGAAATTTAAGGTGGCTAATTGCCTCACTGTTTGAATTCCAATACCATCATGAAAAACTGCATGATTTGAAATTTGCACAATGGCTTAATGTGCCATTTACTGTAGTAAGTTGCTCGTTTCCAACTTTCTTCATATCGTACCGGAGTTAATGATGAAGAGGAACCCAGCCTGATGTACTTTCCTTAAAAATACGTTTTATTTTATTTTGAGACACTGGTCCGGATAGATATGTAGCAGTGTAATTGGCACACAAGACTTTGCTTTTTGAAAAAAATGCTATTTTCCTTTCTTTTTTGTAGCATCAAATGGGTGCAAGTCTTTGATGTGCATGTTGTCAAGGTACAGTTGCTTAATGTACTTGTTTACGACTCGTGATGGTGGCTGCATGCAATGCTAGGGGTAATTCTCCAAGTCTCCAAAAATGTAGCACCAAGTCTAGGGGAACACTCAAACTTAGTGAATCCAGTATAACCCTCCTAAGCAAGAGTTTTGTTAGGCTCATGACTATCTGATCTTGTCAATGCTTTTATTTTAACTTTTAGTTTATGGGATTTAGGATGCCCTTGCATTGTGAATAACCCAACATAAATGCAAGCTTTCCTGTTAATTTCAGAAATTATGTATTGACTTTATTGTGGGTTACAAAACAGTGAGGCTCTGCTTATGGAGTGACATTGTGTTGAGGAAGAGGATGAAAATGTCTGTAATTTCATCAATTTTTGTTATTCTGTACAAATTATTCAAATTTGGAGATATTACCAAACTAGGAGCGGCAGTAGGTTTGATTTAGATAGGTTCAAGTTATTAAATTGGGCTAAATATTTAAGAGGAGAAAGAAAGCAGATGAACCTTTCAGCAGACCTATAGGTTATATCCTGGATAAAAGATATTGATTATGACTTTTGAAAGTAAACGTTGAGTGTCCCATCAGTGTACATAGATTCTTTTCTCAGTGTATTCTTTTCTCAGCGTATACTTTTCTGGAATTTCATAGCTTTTATGACTCTTGGTATGTTTAATTTGAGTTTCCTCCTTGATTGAATAGTGGCCGCCAAATAGTATTTCAAATTTGGTGAATGACAACTAGGATTATGCGCTAATATCATAATTTTTCTTCATTAGTCATGTAGCCAGGAATCTGAAATGTTTGTGCCACATTTGCTTCCATATAGTGGAAGTATTACAAGTAATGTGTTATTTGAGTTATTGGTAATTCATCCAGGCAGGACCAGAGATTGACTAGAACAGAATTCAGAGACCGCTAAACCAGCTGATTATTGCATCTAATGAATGTGCCCTTATGGTGGGTTTAAAAAAAAAATCGTTGATCTCGTAATAGTGTGCTTTAAGATGATGGATGGGTGGTTAGTTTGGGGGAGGGTGTGGGGGGGATTGTGATGTCGCAGAAAGGAGAAAATGAATTGTGAAGGAACTTTTATATTCTCAGTCAAGGCTTGCTGTTTGTGGCATTAAAATGTCCTCTCATATCCCTTCCCTTTCCACGAAGAATAATTAATGCAAGTCAATTTTTGACACTAAAAATACAATAATGCAGCCTACTGAAATTAATTAATATAGGCACTTTAAGCACACATTCAAATTATTCTAAAGTTCAAATGAAGGAACTTCATTAAGAAGGGTGAACCATATCCTCATCTGTTTATAATTGAAGACTTTACCCTGAATTTCTCTTCGCTGGCTAAGGCATTGCCACAATCAGTCAACTTTCCTTTTGTTTTGTACTATAATGTATTGAGATCGTTTGTTTGAAATTTGATAATCTTGTGTTGTCCCAAAGAGTGCACGACAGAAAGCTTTGATATTTACTTTCTCCTCTCCTTTACCACCTGCCTGTTTTGTACTAGGGCTTTCTGTCCAATGCAGAATGCTGAATGTGTTGCTTGATATTTATGTTGCTCATGTTTCCATTTGTATATTGATAATGTGCAAAACTTTGCACTTGTGCTGAACCTGTGAAGGTAGTTATAGAAGTTGTCGGAAAATAATTATATTTTGGGAATCTCTTTATGTTCCTCCATAACTGGAATCTGTTTTAATTTTTTTCAGTAGTCTGCCATCAACTGATGAAACCTCATGTCTGTATAAAATAGTCTGACTATAAATTATAGTGTTTAAGGTTGTGATTAGCAACTTCACTATATTTCATTTGCTTTTATATCTCAGCAGCAATGCAGCAGGTATTGGACAACCTCCATGAGTTGCCCGGCTCTACGGGAGCTAAGGAGATAGACCTCATCTTCCTCAAAGGAATAATGGAGAGTCCTATTGTCAGATCTCTTGCCAAGGTACTGTACTTGCAGTTCTTAGAAATGCTTTAACCCTCATTACTGTGTTTCATAAAGACTCATTCGTGATGGACATTAATTTCATCAATCTTTTTGGTATAAAATGTGTGCTGAGGTGTTTCACAGATGATGGAAAATTTGACAGGAAAACAAAGTAGAAGCGATCTAAGGCTTTCTTAGTTTTTTCAATCTATTGTTTTTTTGAAGAAGAAATTTGGGGGACAAATACATAAATAGGTTTTGCTGCAGCCAATGGATGAGTTTGCAAGTGGTTGGTGTGAATGAATGGAACACTTAGGGGTTATAAGGAGGATTAAAGAACATGGACTAACGCCATCAATGGCTTTAAGGATGAAGATAATTTTCTTTTTTATATTATTCATTTTAGGGATGTGAGTGTTGCTGATGAGGCTGGCATTTATTGCCTATCTCTACTTGCCCTCAACTGGTGGTGGGCTGCTTCTTGAGTATGTCTGAGTGGTTTGCTTGTCTGCTTGAGAGGTCAGTGAAGAATCTGTCACATTGCAGTGGATCTGGAATCCTGTAAAGGCCAGTCCAGGTAAAGACAGTAGACTTCTTTTCCCTAAAGGGCTCTTGTGAATCAGGTGGGTTTTTACAAAAAAATGCTGGTCGTTCCGCAGTCGCCAATACTGATAGCTTTTTAATATTCCAGATGTAGGTAATTAATTGAATTTAAATTTCCAATTGTATTGGTGGGGTTTGAACTTTTTTTTCTCCAAATCATTTGGTCCAAACCTTTGGGTTACTAATTCTGTAACACAGCCACTCTGCTATCATTCCTATGTTGGAAAATAATGTGGCCCAGCAAAGCCAGGTTGATGGCAGCCTGAATGGGACTCACCATTGGGTAAGTGACTTGAATTTTGGGCAGGTTGGATTTAGAGGGTGACTGGAAAGAGCGGTGCTGAAGTAGCCCTTCCATAAATGCCGAGGTTTGAGGCAGGTGATGGCCTGGGATGAAATTAGGCGGTGTTTGATAAAGAGGTTGAGATTTGAAGGATGGCCTTTGGTAGTCAGAGTTTGATCTTTTATCTAATATTGCAATAAATGATAAATGTGGAAGTTGTATTTGCAATTTGCACAGGATTGGCAACGCATCCTTAAATTTTGGAAAGAAAAATCAAAGCAATTGCTTCAAGATACTGAGGATCTGAAAGTGTAGTGCATTGACCTTCCAAAGCATGAATTGTTTACTGGAATACTGCAATGGACAGATACTTTGACAATTTACCATAAAAATGACAATTATTTCATCTATTTTAGGATTACATTGGGAAATAATAACTCCCTCTCATATAATGCTAGTTTCATGTTAAAACAGCATTATTATATTGATTTCAATTCCTTTGATATTGATTTGAAAATGCTAATGTTAGTGATGTCTCTGGTACAGTGCTGAGTAGATGATGCCGTGAAATTGTGCTACCTGTAATTGGTTGGTGGGGGTGGGCACATGATTGTAATTAATTTTTTTAAAAGTATATAATTTAAAAGTATATATGAATTACATCTACATTTCACCTCTCCAGACCTATCAAACGTTTGGGTTTACCCTCCCCACCACTTATATCCCTGAGTTCCTTGAATCTTCTCTGCTGTTTTGAATTCCATATCCTGCTAATGTCATGTACTTTGTCCACATCTTGTTTTAAACTCAGAAATAACTATTTAGGTGGATCAACTCATGATCAAGGCTGTTTATATATGTTTCTTGAATGTGTAAAATTTTATCCCCTGAAAAATCTTTTTGAAGAATGATGAAGAAGAAAAATTGGATCATCATTCATTTATGAACCAGTGACCCAGATGCATTGTATGTACAGAATGCCAGGCTGATCTGAAAGTCTGCCACTAAAATTCAGTGTTATTCAAATTAATGTTCAACTAATTATCATTTAAACATAATTCCACCTAACATAAGAGTTTTGTCTTGCTATGGTCTGGGGCTACCATATGAATAACACATTCTCAGTCTCATGAGTCCCTGCCACGACATGGCCTTACAAGTCCTGATTTTTTTTAAAACAGACAAAAACTTAAGGGCTAGTTTTCCACGATGTCAAAGTGCATGTCCCTGATAGCAGTGTGCAACTGCAACCTTCCAAGTGCAAATGCTTAAATACAAGCATAATTACAACATTTTTTAGATGTAAACATTAAGCATGTTGTATTTGACTTCTATGCTTCCTTCTGCTCTGTGTACATGTAAATTTAGGCTAATTGCCTAATTAGAAAATTGACATAGCATTAGTACAGACATTACATCCCAAGTTTACTAGTTATTTAAGAAGGCACACACCTTTGTGAAAGTATGACATTAGCACTGTTCGTTCATTTACAAATGTAAAGGTCTTTTGATCAAATATCATGTGTTTTGTGTTGATGGAATGAAAGAATGATTTGCCTTGCATTTAATCTGATGGTTTGACTGTTAATTAGAATTAAAATGTTTTTAAATTTAAGTTGTATTGTAAAATCAAACAATATATTGTACAATATAATATTGTAATGATACAAGGAGGATTCATTTTTAAATTCTTCACTGAACTATAGAAATTGAATTTAAAGTCTAAGAATGAGCTACAGGTTTTCCAGCAGATATTTGACAAGTCATTTTTACAGTTCAAAATGGATATAGTCATGTGCTTTGTGAAAAAGTAAGCACTAACAAAGGACATTAGATTGTAATAATTTTTCTGAATACAGACATTTTTTTGGAAGGTGTTTTCTTTAAACATGTTTCTGAAGTATCGTATGTCCAGGAAGCTGAAATTGTTAAATTTTGTGTCAAGCAATTAATCCATCCTCCTGTCACTCCCTTTAACGTTTAAGTGAAGTATAGCCTAACTTAACATCTTTTTAATACTGAAAGTTGTGCGTAATATTAGTCCAGAATGGCATTATTGACATTAAATAATTTCATTAACTTGTGCAGAAATGTCTTGCGTTATTTACATGGAAATGTCTGGTTAACACAGACATTTAATTGCAAATCTGAATAGGGCATCTTATTAGTCTGGTATTGTATCAAGTAAGCTATAAGTGATAGAAATGCATATTCTGCTTGTGGATAGAAAATGGCAAAAATGGAAAGGAATTTGGAAGGGGAAAAGACGAAGACTTCAGTTCAAAATATTTAACTGGCATCTCATCGTGATTTAAAAGTTATTCGTTCAGAACTGATTTAATAAAAGCGGACAGCAATAAAATCCATTTTTGGAACAGTACTTGGGGAGCTTTATCTCTTGCCTTTGTACTTCCAAATCTGGGAGGTTTTTTTCTACAATTCTTTTCCAAGATGAGAAATATTCTCCATCAAACATTGCCAAAATTTGGATGTATGAAAGAATGGCCATTGGGACATTCAGTTATCTGCTATTGGTTAAATTGATGCATATCTTTGTATTCAGCCATGACATGTTTAGCCTATCATCTTTAAGTAATGAGAATACCATGTTGAGCATGCTGAATATGAAACATTTTTTGATTCTCAATTATTTTAGATAAATTAAAATGTGAAGTTTTAAGTTTAAATTAAACATAGCATAATAGATTTTGCTGATTCGTTCTGGATGTGATGCTTATTAACTATTTCACCTATTGCTCATTTAAAAATTTTTTTAAACTTCAAAAATATACTTAAAATAAAAAAAACTTAAAATAAAAAAAACATAGTCACTAAAGCAATTTAGTTTGGTACAGTAGCATATGAAGAAAACAAACAAATATTGGACTTTGACTCTACCCAACAAACAAAACCAACGTCTCCAGAGCAGTTAGTGATGAGCATTCGTAGAATCCCTACTGTGTGGAAACAAGCCCTTCGGCCCAACAAATCCACACCGAACCTCAAACATCCCACCCAGACCCATCCACCTAATCTACACCTCCCTGAACACTATGAGCAATTTAGCATGGCCAATCCGCCTAAGCTGCACATCTTTGGACTGTGGGGGGAAACCGGAGCACCTGGAGGAAACCCACGCAGACATGGGGAGAACGTGCAAACTCCACACAGACAATCGCCCGAGGCTGGAATCGAACCTGGGTCCCTGGCGCTGTGAGGCAACAGTGCTGCCCTCTTTGTTTGCCTGTACTGTGTATTACCTACAGGCAGATTACCTAGAGGGTATAGAAATGGTGATATGATGCTGTGAAAAGTTATATGTATTAATGTGTTTGTCTGTTGTAGGCTCATGAGAGACTTGAAGAAACCAAACTGGAAGCTGTGAGAGAGAATAATGTAGACCTTGTGAAGCAAATTCTTGAAGACATCAGTTGCATAGTCAATCACAATGAGACTGCTACAGAGCTGACCAAAATTCTGAAGGAGCCACACTTTCAGGTATAAGCTGCAGTTGTACAGTTTTTCCTTTGAGTTTGTGATACGCACAAAATAGACAAATAGTAAACTTTCTATTGACAAATGTTAATTGGAAACTAAAGGCTGCATGGAAAGATCAGTTTATATTTTAATGCAGTTTAGATATTTGGAGGTTCTTGTTTTATAATTTTAAGTATTTTGGTAGAATTTTTCATAGTTAAAGCAGAGGCTTGGTGCGGAATGAATCCATTAGACATAAATTGTCGTGAAGCTATGAATGTATTTAGTTAATATGTTCAATTACTTTAAATAAAAATTGGCCAAGATTCTGCGTTTTGTTTGTTAGACTGTGGACATGTTCCAATCTTGGTTTTTCTTTTCAATCCCTTTAATTTCTTCAGTTTGGTTTATATTACGTTTTTTTTAATCAATATTTATATCTTCTTTGTCAAAATCTATTAGAAGACAATTGCTAGCTTCCCCCTCTGAAACATTTGATCATGTGGACAGCATCTTGTTAGCCTCTAACTTATCAATTTTTGCAGAACAAGCTGAAATGAAAAAAAAACGTTAACTCAGTGTTGTTTCTGTATTGGATTACTCAACTTTTAGGCCCCTCGCTATCACTCGCTCTCTTGCGTGCTCCCTTCCCCCAACCTCCCTTGTCTCTGTCTCTGTCTCTGTCTCTGTCTCTGGCACTCCGTGCTTGGGCATGAGCATATCTATCTTCTCTGTAAGGTGTCATTAACTAAGAATAATTGAGAAAGAAGAGCATTAATTTTGATACTTCAGCTTAAAATATTTCTCAGTGTGTAATTGGCTTTATAATTAGTAAACTTCCATACAACCCAAAACTAGAAGATAACCTCGGAGATATCAAGAACTGCAGATGCTGGAATCAGAGTCAATACGGTGTGGAGCTGGAGGAACACAGCAGGTCTGACAGCATCAAAGATATAGGAGAGTTGACATTTTGGGCCTAGACCCTCCTTCAGGACCTGTTTTTCGAAGTTGTCTAAGATAGCTAAATCTTCCAGTAATTAGCTCACACTGAATCTGTAGAAAGACTATTGAATGGCTGTAGAATTTTTTGCTTTTTGCATAATGTTTCAGATGCTGTTGAGGCATAATTTTAGAATAATACACTGCATGCTGTTGCAAGGAGATTTGATGAACGTAAATTTCTTTTGTGGATCTGGGCAAATGTTTAAGAGGAATTTACTACTTAAACATATTGCACAAATTTGAATTGTTTGCAAATTAATTTGAGCTTATCATTATTGAATGCTGCTAACTTGTAGCATAAAATAACTTAACATTCCTATCAACAATCGATCTTGTGTTTACTCCTTTTTAATAGTAGCAATACAGCATTAACTTAACAGAAACAGGAAACCACCAAAAATGATGTATTAATGGTATATATTTATTTGGCTAATGTCACAAAAATATCTGAAATTTTAACAAAAACTGAAATGGCTGGAAAAGCTCAGCCGGCAAGGCAGTAGCTGTGGAGAGAAATCAGAGTTAACGTTTCAGGTCAAGTTCTGAGGAAGGGCCACTCAACCCGAAACATTAACTCTGACTTCTCTCCCCAGATGCTGCCAGACCTGTTGAACTTTTCCAGCAGTTTCTGTTCTTGTTTCTGATTTACAGCATCTGCAGTTCTTTTGGTTTTTATCTGAAATTTTAAATTGTGATAGCATTTTAAATAGGCTAAATGTCACATTTTTAAGGTTTTGTCTAAAATCATTCACAAGTATGCATTTGGTCTGTAGCCTTGCTTTGAGTTGGATGATCACACTTGTCATTTTCCAAATAGCTACGATCTGAATCTAGTTTTAGAGTCCTCTGATCCGTAGGGGAGTGAGCAATTCCATGATGACTAATCTGTTTGTAGGATTTAGAGACCAGTATTTGAAACACAAGTTATTTATTTTACAATTAAATTATAACTTTGTATTACCTAAGATGTATAAACATGGTGCTGCCTCTAAATCTTATAAATCTATTTTGTTTATCAGCACCTCTGTGTAAAGCTCCTATTGATGAGACATCTGTCTAAAAGATTTTAGTTGAGTAATCTTTATAATCCTCTACTGTCACCATTACTGTGCCATGAAAACATAATAAAGCTGTTTTATTTAGAGCTGTAACCTAGTTTTTATTCTCATCAAACATTTCATATTTTAAGAGACTGAGCAGAGCTAATGATTTGTGTTGTATTCTTTTCTTACAAGATTATGTATGCTATCTTTCAAACTGTTTTGAATGCGGGAGATGATCATGGTGTTCTTGTTGCTGTAGCTTGGTCAAATGTCCTGTTCCTGACACATGGCCGTGCGAGTTTAAATTTACATTTGAATTTTTGATACAGTATGTCTGGTGTGCATTTTTTTTGAACTCTACGAAACAAATTACAATAATGTTGAGTGTGTATTGTTCATTTTGAACAATTTTTAAATAGCTATGATCCTTTAGGTTTTTCTAATCAAAATTGGATTAAGAAGCTAATGGAGGTGATTTAATTTTCACTGAAGCAGATCTGAGCTCCCTATTGTTATTGACTGCATTTGCAGTGGGATGTAGCTTTTTTGTTTGATTTCCATTTAGCAGTAAACATTACAAAAAGGTAGTATGAAAAATATGGTTATGTCTGGTGTGCCTAATCATTTACACCCCAATGTTGGAAATGTTAAACTGGATTGAGTTTGCTTTTTATATTTAAAAAAAAAACCTTCCTTATGTTCTACTTTTCACAGAATTAGTTTAAGGAAAGTGCATTTTGTCTCTGACTGGGATCTAATTTTCATCTAATTGAGAATTTCAAATGTGATCCTGATATGACAAAATATTGGAAAGTCTGAAATTGTTGACTTTTCTTTTGAATTAAGACTTCACTTTTAATTCCCAGTGGATGAAGTACAAAGCAACTGGTTTCCTGTTTCTCTGACACCGTCACCTCCAGGCTGTCTTGGCCAACAGAGCAAGTTCCATTTGAGATGGATTATAAGCTCTAAAATTGTTTGCTGTCAGCATCCTTTTCTTTAAGTTTTAGTATCGATACATTTAACATTTGCCTCATGCATTTCTTTAGTATTTTAAACAAGAACAAGCAGCAAAGTAGCAAACATCTCCATTAAAAATTCTCTTATGACCTGAGAACGCATTGTTTGGACATTAGAGAGAAAGTGCCCAATTTATTTTGCAAGCATTAAAGTTACTGGGTGGAAACGTCAAGATATTTGTATGTAAATTGCTGATGCTGTCATCTGACAGGTGCTACTTCAAGTAGAGAACATGGCTTTATATGATTTTACCCCTTGGTTGTTTTTGTGGTTTGACATATATTGATTCAATCCCTAAAATGAGCACTAAATAAAATCACGTTTGGCATTGGACACGATTTGGTAAAGCAACACATTTCTTTTTTGCATGTAAAGTCTTTTGTTTTGCAGTGAGGCTATTTGTCTTAACTGCCCCTTGTGGTAGCAGGTACCACATTCTTGCCACTAAATAAGGCAAGTATAAGTTGAATTATTTTAGATGACCAAAACACCTCTGATTCTAAATAGATATTTTAGGAATTAAATTTATACCTTTAATATTCAAGACAATATTGGTAGCTTTTTTTCTGATGAAGGGTCTAGGCCCAAAATGTCAGCCTTTCTGCTCCTATGATGCTGCTTGGCCTGCTGTGTTCATCCAGCCCTGCACCTTGTTGTCTCGGATTCTCCAGCATCTGCAGTTCCTACTATCTCCGATTCAATTGTAGCTAAAAGTTCCCTTTGCTTTCAATCAAATTATGCATGAGCAGTTTGACTGTAGTCACAGTTGATCAAATTGCTGCTTTGGTCTTGTTCCCATTCCTGTTATCTATGAGGGTTGGCACTGTTCATTCTTGTGTTAAAGGTTTTATACCTTGAGTGAGATGTACTAGAATATTGCTTTAAAAGGAGTCATGCTCATCAGTGAGTACACATTGTCTAACTGCTTTGAAACACTGACTTTTTCCTCTGGTATTCTTTGTGGTTCCACCACCATCGTTTGGAATCCTTTTGTGTATCTTGCCAGAAAGGGTGCCTGTATGTCTCAAACCTGTAACTTTAGGAATTTGCTTATCAGCAGTTTCATCCTTCGATAAACAGATCGCCAGGTTGGTTGACTTCCTATCCCCACAAAATACATAAACTGTGCTGATCGTAGATTGTTGTCACCTCTGATGTCAGGTCTCTTCACAAGGTCTGCAGAATTCTTTTAGTCAAGTAGCACGCCCATCCCTTGGCCAATTGGATTTGATCATGCTACTTCTCTACACTGTCCAAGTATAGAAGTTTCTTCTGAATTCCCTATTGGATTAATTAGTAGCAATCTTACATTAATGACCCCAAGCTTTGATCTCTCTCAAATGGAAACATCTTCACTACATCTAACCCTTTCTTAAGTATAAAGACCGGAATAATCCTTGATCTTCTCTTTTCTCGAGGACATGAGTTGCAGTCAGCTCAGTTTTTCCGATGGATATAATTTCTCAGTTCTGATATCATTCCGGTAAATATTTTTGGTATGTTCTGCAGTATTTCTATAGCTTGTTTAAGTTTCCAAAGCGCACAGGAGCACAGTCAGCATTGCATGACCTTGGCCTCAGGTTTAGAAATCTGCCCTCTCATATTCTTAGTTGACCAATGGCTGTGTTGACACATTTTATGGGTGTAGATGAATTTTGTCGTCCACGTCTGCCTTTGCAGAGAGGAACTACCCTAAGATTTGGAAAATGGCCCAAGTTTTCCAAGATCTCGCTGTTGATCTTAATTGATGGGAAATGTTGTGCTGTGGAAGCTGTTTGGAAGGGGAGCATAGTTTAATGGGAAAGGCCCATCTTTACAAACATCATTTGTATTCTGAAGCTCTAAGATGGAGGTTTAAGTAGATTTTTATTTGGATTGAAAGCTACATAGGTTTGAGCAGTTTCCCAGTTCTGTAGATTATCTCCATCCCTGTGGGGAATGCTGGAGATGTATTGCAGCAAATAAAGTAGAGGAGAGATTTGGTGCCATGATGCAGCCTTGGTTTTCCCCCCCGGTCTTCGCTGAGCTGGAGTCTGGAGGTTCCGTTAGTGAGGATCCTGTCTTGCATGTTATTGTGGTGTAAGTAGAGAATGGTGATACGTTTCTGAAGGTGGCCAAATTTTAGGATAATGTATCCTATCTTTTGATGTTGACAAACTACAAGCCCCTCACAAGCTGTAGTTGAACTACCTTTCCTGCCATCTGATTTGGGGGATTTTCTCAAAGCAGGATTGGTCCTTCTCTAGTGCTTTGACATGTCTGCCATAGTTGTCCATGTCTCTAGCCTGAAACCAGACTGAGTAAATTGGAACTCTGTGGCTGCTGACTCGTTGCAGACACTGGCTTGTGATCAACTGGAAAGGAGAAGGCTCCAAACTCCAGAGACTTTATTGTGAAAGTGCAGAGAGAAAAATCAAGGTGTTGGAGGGAGCACACTAACCTTCAAACAGCCCATTTGCTCAACTCTTCAAGCACACATTGGATCAGGTATCTCAGAACCTGTTGAACCAGATGGAAACAAATCATCCTCAATCCTAAAAACTTGCCTTCATGGTAATCCATTATATAAAATGAAAACAAAAGTTGTATATAAAACTCTATGGGTAGTCTCATCAGTGTTAAATAGATATGTAACATATCTTTGTTTCCCACTTCTATCTCTCTAGCAGAGCTTGGTTTACTTTTTATTAATTAACCTGCTTTCCTGCATTTAGTGGTTTTGTAGATTTGAGTATCCACATCTCACCACCACTTTTATTTAGACCCTTATTTTCCAGGAAATATCTGAACGCATGTTCCAAGCAAATTTGCCACCTCATCTCACCCTTCTCATTGAAGCTCATTTGCCCTGTTCTGCAAGTTCTTTGATTTCGCTTGTATTTTGTTACAGACCTCCTATATTAACTGTGCATCCTAGGATTGATCAAATTAAGGCCTGAATCTTTTGATCAGTGGAAAGATTCACCCAGCCTGACAAGACTCTGCATTTCTTCAGGATCTTCTGATTTCAGTTGTCAGATATTCTGTGCAGAATCTTTTCGGGAGTATCCCCCTAGAGAAGGAGTGTCAGGGGATGACAGGAAACACTTCCTTTTTATGGCATGAGTCAGTTGGGTCAAGGTATTTTGTTTGGAGCTCTTGTCAGGCTGGAGCCTTGGGATGGTGGTTGTTGGGGGAAGAGAGATTCGAGGGTGTGATAGAGGTCAGTTGTGGAAGTAATTAAGTGTTATATATTATTTGTCTAATGTTTCCACTGTCTGAGTAAGTACCATGGATCAGCCCCAAGTTTCAGTTATGTGCTAGAGGGTCCTTGAGAGCAGAGTAATTGCCCATTGAAGTTTTACCTTTCTGGTCAATTTCCATATAGACCTTTACAACGGGGCTTCCACAGACCTTCAGTCTACTACTGAGTTCCTATCTTTAACCCCTACACTATTATTTTGTTTTTTCAGCCATCTTGGTATTCATTTTGCTGATTGTCCTCTGACTCCAAATGTTCTAAATGTAGTCATGAGCCTATTATCCAGCATCTTTACTGAATATTATTTGGAAATCCACGCAGCTTATTCGCCTAAAGTATTTGTGGGTGTTTTCTACAGTTAACAGCTGTACTTAATGTAAGCTATTGCTTTAATGCCCATTGCATCTGTCTGTGACCTTTTGTTTTAACAGGTTTACTCCATCATGTTGATTGTATAACCAAAAGCTTGTTAAATTTGCAAGTCATCCGCAGTACCATGGTGGAGCTTTGTGAAAGTTGAGGTGGAGGTGGTGGTGACAAGGAGAAGGAAAAGGGGGTAGGCTCATAAGTGTTCTGAGGATCCAGATTGTCATCCTACAAAGAGTGCCCTTGGAATCTATCAGCTTGCAAATGTTGATTTACTTCAGGCTTTAATGGAGCAATAGTAGTCTGTGTCCTTGTTTCCTGACAATTCCTCTGCTCTCATTTGCAAATGACCAATCTTTTAGGCAGTATGCTTATTTCATTATGTAAATTGTGATCCTAGGAATTTTGCGTCTGAATATTGTGGCCATCTCTTTGCAGCTATGGGCAGCAGGTCAGCATATTTCTACTGTTTGAATGCCCAAAAGTCAATAGACTCTGTGCATTTGATATATTTTGGTATTGATTTGGAGATTTCTGATTAACAGAAGGATGTCCGAGTTACATTCATGTTGCCATCCTTCCTCATTGCTTTGCTTTGTTTCCAGTTTTTCCAAATCACAACTGTCTTTAACCATCAAACTAAAGTCATTGATACATGTACTGAACTTTGAACCAGAATTGCCATTTAAATGAAGAAAAATCTGGAAAACCATTTTTGCTTTGGAAAGTGGGCTATTTGTTAGTTGATAAAGACTAGCCTGGAGCAGCTTGTGGTATGGCTGCATGCCATATGTTTAAAAGGAGCATAGTGTTGGAGAGAACTATTGAGAATATTGGGGAGCAGAGGCTGATATGAAGTGAATCTAATATTTGAGTGGTCACTTATGGACATGTTGCATTAATTGATAAGATTAGATTATCAACTGAGGTTTATGATGTGGTCACAATTGGAACGTTTCTCGTGAAATGTGTGGATGTTATTGAGTATCTTAGATTCTGCACTAATGTTTAGGAAATAATGCTTTATTCATGATGTTTGCAGTCACTTTTGGAAGTCCATGATTTGGTTGCATCAAAGTGTTATGAAACACCACCCTCAAGTCCCAGTCTGCTAAATGAAATCTTGAACAACCAGACAGCATCAGGAGATGCTGTTCGCATGATTGGAATTCAGAAGAAGGCCACAGAGCCTTTGGTAAGTACTTAACTTTTATTTCTGAGTTCATTTATTAATTTTGGGTGTTTGCTTATACCCAAGTTGAACTTTAATGTAGTGGTGTAATAAAGGTTCTGCAGTCTCAGTCTCTTTATTGCACCAATCCTAGAACTGTTACTCAGACAGCTCCCTGTTCCTGAATGTTTGTGGATCTGAATGGGGCAACATCAGGAATAATGTTGAGTTGTAATCTGAACCTGGGAGTAGATGGGCTAGACATCCTATAATGCTACAAGTATTTAGGCTACTAATTTTAAAGAAGGAAAACCTTTAAAGGTGAAACCGCTTTTTAAATTTCCTTTTCCTAACAACATCTTCCTCCCTTCCTGTATTGCTGGATTCTACCTGTACAGATGCCAATCGTTGAGGTACCTCCTGCCTATATGCCTTTTTTGACATGAACTGAACTATAAGACTACCTAACTGTTCACCTCTGGCCTTGTGTGATAATCATCCATTTACCTGTATATTTCAAGCAAGGTGTGTTAGATAGTCAGGAATACTATAGATTTAACCCTCTATTACAGATACAGAGCCAATTATAGTGTTCCTACTACTGTTCAAACTGAGACCAACTGACTCAATGAAAGGAAACATACCTGGAATCAATGTTATCCATGTGATTCCCAGTATTTATTGATCATAGAATCCCTACATTTTGGGCCAAATGGCCTGCTTCCATCAAGTCCACACTGAACCTCTGAAGAGCAGTTTACCCAGACCTACCACCCTGCCCAATCATCCTGCATTTCCCATGGGTAACCCACCTAGCCTATGTATCGCTGGACACTGAGGTAATTTAGTATGGCCAATCCACCTAGCCTGCACATCTTTGGACTGTGGGAGGAAACTGGAGCACCCAGAGGAAACCCATGCAGACATGGGGAGAATGTGCAAACTCGACACCGACAGTTGCCCAATGGTGGAATCGTACCCAGGTCCCTGGCCCAATGAGGCAGAAGTGCTAACCACCGAGCCAACGTACTGCCCTAAGTTATACATACATACATCTAATAGCATAATGAAGGTTACAAATCTGTAGGAAAGTACTCCACTGTTTTAAGCTTTTGGACTAATATGTACCCTCTTTCTTTTGCTACAGTGAATTTACTGTGATACCTTCAGACTAGAATTGCTTGCAATATATCGGCTTCATAAAGTCGTTGTTAAGATTATTCCTGAACCGTTTAGTAGAAGAGGAAAGAGTCCTCCCTTTCTGGGCTTTTTAAAATTGTTGAGAATGTATTTTCAAAAATGCAGGTGACAAAACTTTCAAAGGTTTGTGAACTGAGAAAGATGGACTTAAGTGGATGGAAATTGGTGGAATTGGAGTTCATGTGGCAGATGAAGTTTAATGCAGGGAAGACTTAAGACAAAAGCAACGAAATTGTGATGAACCTTGTATAAACCTCTGGTTTGGCCTGACCTGGAATGTTATGTCCATTTCTGAGCTTCAAACTAAGGGAAGGATGTGAAACCATTAGAGAGGTTGCAGGAAAGATGTATAAGAATGGTTCCAGGGACGAGAGTCTTTAGTTACATTGGTAGATTGGAGAAGCTGGGGTTGTTTTCCTGTCAAGAAGCTATAGAAAAGATTTGATAGAGGTGATCTAGGCATGTTGGTAGGGATAAACGCTTTCTACTGACAGAAGATAGAGAAGGCAAAGGGCATCGATTTTAAAAGCAGAAGTAGATACGTTCTTGATAAGGGCTGAAGGTTTACTGGGATAGGCAGGAATGTGGAGTAATCAGAACAGCCAATACCTTTATTGAATGACCGAGCACACTCAGGACGCAGATCTGACCTACTTTGGCTCTGAATTTGTCTGTTTGTATGTACTTGAGATTGGTGAACAAATTTCTTTTCAAAGTGAAGTGTTTAGGATATGAATGCAATGTCTTTTGAGTATGACAAAGCAGATTCAACTGTAGTTTACAAAGGGAATTAGTTTTAAATGCTTGAGAGAATTTTGTGGGGCAATGAGGAAAGGGTTGGGAAATGGGCCCGTTTAAGTTGCTCTTGCAGAGAGCAGGCATAGACACGACGGGCTGAATGTCCTTCTTTCTGTAAACATTCTACAGTGCTATTCCATGAACTTGTAATCCTAACTGTAACAAAAGAAAACTACAAAGATTTGCATTGAACTGGATAGTGAGTGTGACATTTAGTCTTTCTCTGAAATGTCTAGACACACTTACAAATTCCAAAGAGTTGGCTTTCTGTCTGAAGTGGTTTCAAGGCAAACTTTTAAAACCAAGAACTAAATGGAGAGTGAACATTTTTTGTGAAGACAACTCTGTTCTAATATGGAATCTGTCACCATTCCCTTGTACAATGAATATGTTTTGTAGCAAAATCATTTTCGTAATTGTGCAGAGAGAAAAGTCAGCCTTTTTCTATGGAGATGGACAAAAGCATTTTTTGCTATTACTGTTATTTGTCGCTTAAATTTGCAACATTTTGGGAAAGAGGGAAATGCTTACTGTTTCCTTGCTTAAATGGCTGCAATTTTCTGGCTTTGGGAAAGCAAAAACCTTGCAAAAAACATCAACTATCATTTTTTTCCCCCCTCTGTAGGGCCTTACCTTTAGGGTAGAGAACAATGAGCTGGTAATCGCAAGGATTCTCCATGGCGGTATGATTGACCGGCAAGGTCTTCTCCATGTAGGTGACATCATTAAAGAAGTAAATGGCAGAGAAGTCGGGTCTGACCCAAAAGCACTGCAGGATATATTAAGGGATTGCAGTGGTGGCATCACATTCAAGATCTTGCCCAGCTACAAAGAAACTCCTATGCCCCTCCAGGTATGAGAGATCGCAGAAGTGCTGATTAGGAAATATTTAACAAAATTGCATCACTAGAATTTGTATTCAAAGAAACCAGTTTAATTGCTATATAATAAATTAAGTCATTGAAAATGTACATCTTAAGAAGAAAAAGTATTTTCCTATTGAGCATTGGATTGTATGTTTGTTTGATTCTAGAATGTGTTGCATGTTGTGCATCCTGTTGCTATTGGGTGTTCAGTATTTGAACAACAATGTAATTATTACTTTTCATTATGCTGAAATTCAGAAATAATCAACCACTCCTAAAATGAATGGTTGAATCATCTGATGGATTATTTAACTGAAGAGATGAAATTACTTTGATTCGGTCAGGAAATGAATTGGAAGTTGCTGGTTATTTGGATGGCAAGTTAACAGACTGGTGGAATAGCTGATGCACTGAGATGGCTTTGGGAAGTTTTGAATCTGAAGCAATTTTAATGTGATCCTAAACTTTAGGATGCAAATACAGTATGCAAGCCCAAACTGACCATCAAGCAAAGGAACACTCCCCGCTCTTGGAGAGTCTTGCTTTGCTTACTAGTGGCAGATCCTGCCACCAGATGCATGCCCTATATTCGTGGAATGTATAAATCCAATGCATACTCTTTTATATATAATCCAAGTTTAGGATTTACTTTGTGACTTAACCTACAGATTTAAGTGAGGATCTGTTAGTTGGTGCTGCATTAAAAATTGTATGGAACATGAGAACTAGGGCTACCAAAATAGTTTAGGGATAAGACTTCGAATTATAAATCATAATACACTACCCTTTAAAAGCTAAATAAAAACCAAAAGAACTGCGGATGCTGTAAATCAGGAACAAAAACAAAGTTGCTGGAAAAGCTCAGCAGGTCTGGGAGCATCTGTGGAGGAGAAAACAGAGTTAACGTTTCGGGTCCCGTGACCCTTCCTCAG